TGCACACAAACGAGAACAACAATATAACCAAATTTACACCAACACATCAACAGCAACAACAACTGCATTCTCAGCAACAATCGCATCACCAAGCAGCTGAAAGTTTGCCGCCATTAAGTTTGGTGCCACTGCGTGAGAATAAGGATAATGGCAGTGGTGGTGGTGGCAGCGGCGGCGGCGGTGGTGGTGGTGGTGGTAAGGATCTGCCGACACCCACATCTACGCCCACTACAAGTCGCAAAAGTCGACGGCGTTCAAATCTCTTCATACCCTCCTCCTCGAAGAAGGGCGAGAAAGATTTGAAGAATGGCGAATTGGGTAGCGGACGATCCATACCAATCAAACAGGGTTACCTGTACAAACGCTCCAGCAAATCGCTGAACAAGGAGTGGAAAAAGAAATATGTAACGCTCTGCGACGACGGTCGGCTCACATATCACCCGTCGCTACACGATTATATGGACGATGTGCATGGCAAGGAAATACCACTGCAATATGTAACTGTAAAGGTGCCGGGTCAAAAACCGCGCGGCTCTAAATCGATCATCACCAATAGCGCGCTTACAACATCAATGCATGCGAATGGTCGTAGTCATGGGCAAAATGGACTAAGCGAAGGCATTGGTTGTCTATCGATTGTCAAGGATAACAAGGAGAAGAAGCTAACGGAAAAAGTACTGCTCACAGCCTTCGATACGCTACGCGAGCCAGTCAAATCGAACTCTTCGCAGCAGACCAGTGGCGATGAGGGCATCGCCATGTCCAACTCCAATTCACAGACATTTATCGCTGGCAGTGATAGCCAGCAACATTTGCAGCAGCAACAACGTGAATTACTCGCCGTGAATGCGGCCAACAAATTAGAATCTCAGACACCAAATGTCAAGAAACGTCATCGTCGCATGAAGAGCAGCAGTGTGAAATCGAATGAAGTAGACGATTCAGATATTTATGAATTTTTCATTGTATCTTTGGATTCGAAACAGTGGCATTTTGAGGCAGCAAGCTCTGAGGATCGTGACGACTGGGTAGCTGCTATCGAGCAGGAGATCTTCAAGAGTCTGCAGGGAATTGAAAGTACGAAAACTAAACCGGCGACCACAAGCGAGCTGGCCTCAATGGTGGCGATACGTACGCGCGTGCCAGGCAATGGCTATTGTGTCGACTGCGATGCGCCGAGTAAGTAGATTCCTAAAGAACGGTATTTGGTTAGAAGTGTTCGAAATGTTCGCTTACACTTAACTTTATATTATTGCAGATCCTGAATGGGCTAGTCTAAATCTGGGTGTGCTAATGTGCATCGAATGTTCTGGCATTCATCGCAACTTGGGTTCACACATTTCCAAAGTGCGTTCGCTGGGCTTAGACGATTGGCCGTAAGTGTTTTTTTTTTTTGTCTAACTAGTCAAAGTGTGAGTGACTTATGTATATGCCTATTTGTTCGGTTTGCAGTGCCGGTCACCTTAGTGTAATGCTAGCTATAGGCAATAGTCTAGCCAATTCAGTGTGGGAAGCAAACACACGCCAACGCAGCAAACCAAAGCATAATTCTACACGCGAAGAAAAGGAAGCGTGGATACGCAGCAAATATGAGGCTAAAGAGTTTCTAGCACAGTGCAATGCGAATACAAATACGACGCCGGGACAGCAATTAATTGAGGCCGTGATCAGGTAAGTTAAAGAGAGAAAAAAATATATATTTGTCAATGTTATTGTGGCTTTTTAACATTTTTATTTTTAATATTT